CACAACAGTCCATCATTTAATTGTATTAAGCACACCTGTACATAGTTGCCATCAACATTTCCAAAACATTTTCTTTCTACTTGAGCCCTTGGTATCAGGTCCTCTTTTTTCCCCTCCCTTCCCCATCCACCCACCCTTGTGAATCCTTGATCAATTGTATATTATTGTTTTTATTTCACCATTGATTTTAGATCTCTTGTTGTTCCCTTGTCCCTGGGTTTGTTGGCTCCTCTCTCCAAGTCCCCTCTCCCCTGTCCCCCAGGAACCGTTGGTCCTGTCGTTTTTCTTCTTGGGATTGTTTATCCTGCCTATCTTATATAGATTGACATGGCAGAGGAAAAAGGGGGGGGGAAGTCAATGAATAGTTCCAGGTCTGTCTGCTGACCCTTATGAATATTTTCCATTTGAGTCTGATGGAGTGCCTAGCCCTGGCCTCACCCCTCACCCCCACCCCCAGTCCTGTCTGTTTTCAGGATTCCTCAGGGCTTTGTTGCTTTGCTTCCCCTGCTGCTCTGTTGTGCTCTCTTAATGTTACATCCTGGGGGGGCGGTCAGACTGGGCACAGTTCCCGCACTGTGTCTCTGGTGCTGCCTGCCTTAGCGCTGTGGGTCAGTAAGGGGATGTCCTGTCTTGAGGTAGGGCGGACCCTACAGTCCTCTCTCTGTTCATTGGCTGCTCGAGCGGGAATGCTGTCCTCAAAGCTTGGTGGGTCAGGATGCTGTTCTCTCTCTCTGTCTCTGTCTGTCTGTCTCTCTCTCTCTCCCCCCACCTCGCTTGTTTGCTCCTGTGGGGTCTGCTTTCTTAAGGTACTGCTGTATCTGGGCTGTATCTTCAGTGTGTCCTCTGTGGTGCGTTCTTCTGGGGAGGGGTTTGACGTAGCTGGGATGCGGCCAGCCTGACCTTGAAGACCTCTCTGTCAGTTCACTGCTTCATGCCAGTATGTTGTCCTCAAGGCTGGATGCACCAGGTTGAGGCTGGTCCCTCTCTCCCTTTCCTCCTGTGGAGACATGAACAGCACTTTCCCTATGGTAGATTAGTGCCTTGTTCCCCCCAATGCCTTTGGCTCCCCCCAGCCTGCTTTTTTTTGGTCTTGTCCTCCCTGCCCCTCTTTCCCCTGTTTTATATTGGTGTGTGCATCATCGGGCTTGGTCTGTCCCCTGCCTGTGTGCCTCTCCTTAAGTTATGTATTAAATCGTTTTTCTTCTAACCCCACTGTGCTGATTGGACCTACTTCAGTGGACTCATCTTATACTTGGTTAACTTTGCTTAGCATAATGTCCTCAAACTCGTGAACATTTTCTCATAAGTGTATTGGCCATTTGGGTTTACTCCCTGGAGAAATTTCTGGTCAGGTCCTTTGTCCACCTCCTTGGAGGGCAGACTATTAGGGTATTGTATATTTTAGTAATAGGCCTTTTATGTGATGGGCCAGTGTCAAGATCTTCTCCCAGTCTTTGGTTTCTCTTGTGACTCTTGCTTGGTAAAGCACACAGGTGTATTATCCTTAGTATATCCTGTTTGTCAATTTCCGGTTCTTCTGTGTGTCTGTCCTTCCCTCTTTCAGTTAGCCTATGTGTTCCCTGTGCTTAGGTTCTCAGGGGTGCCCCTGTTCCTTTGTTGATGCCCTTAGTAGTCTGGGGTTTTACTTCAAGGTCTGTGTTCTACTTTGTTTGTTCTTGTGCATGGGATGAGATAAGGATCTTGCTTCATTTTTTTCCAGCACCACTTGTTGAAGAGGGCACCCACTTCCCATTTGCTGGTTTTGGGGCCCTAATCGAAGATCTGTTGTCTTTATGCTGCTGGTTTTATTTCTGGGGTTTCTGTTCTTTTCTATTGATCTGAGTATCTGTCATTAAATCAGTACCATGCTTTTTTGACCACTGTGCCTGTGTAGTATGTTTCAAAGTCAGTTGAAGCAAGCCCTCCAACTTTGTCTTTCTTCTTGAGGAGTTCTCTACTAATTCTGGGCTTCTTTCCTCTCCATATGAAGTTAATAGTCAGTTTTTCCATTTCTTTGAAGATGGTTGGTATTTGTATCATTATAGCGCTAAACTTACATAGTTCCTTGGGTAGGATTAACATCTTTACTATATTGAGTCTTCTAACCCTAATCCATGAGCATGGGATAGTCTTCCATTTGTGGAGGTTACGTTTGGCTTCTTGTAGTATTCTGCAGTTTTCCTTGTACAAATCTTTTGGGGTTTTTTGGATAGGCATATCCCTAGGTATTTCAATTTGTGCTTGGCTATTGTGAAGGGCACTGCCTTCTTGATCTCTTCTTCCGTGGTCTTGTCCGATGTATATAGCAATCCAATAGACTTCTATTTGTTGATCTTGTAACCAGTCACTTTTCCATATTCCTCTATCGCTGCCAGTACTCCTGTTGTGGGGCTTTTGCGGTCTTCAATGTATAGAATCATGTAGTTTGCAAATAATGATAGTTTCACCTTTTCCTTCCCCAGACGAATGCCTGTTATGTCCTTTCATTGCCTTATGTTGTTAGCTAAGCCCTCCAGTACGATGTTGAATAGAAGTGGGGATGAGGGGCATCCTTATCTGGTCCCCTTGTTGAGTGGGATTGTTTTCATGTTTTCACCATTTACTTTGACGTTGGCTATTGGGTTTTCATAGATAGCTTGCATTAACTTGATGAATTCCCCTTCCATTCCTATCTTCTTGAGTGTCTTAATTAGGAGTTGGAGTTGGATATTGTCAAATGCTTTTTCTGCGTCTGTTGATATTATCATGTGGTTCTTATTCATTTTCTTCTCAATGTGATGGGTGATGTTGATGGGATTTTGGATGTTGCGCCATCCTGCATCCCTGGAATTTGTCCCATCTGGTCATGATAGATGATTTGTTTAATATACTTTTGTATTCTATTGGCCAATATTTTGTTAAGGATTTTTGCATCAATGTTCATTAGAGATATCGATCGGTTTGTAGTTCTCTCAGAATTGACTCAATGGCAGTGAGTTTTTGAGTTGCCTGCTTAGGGGGTGGGGGGGGTGTCTTTTTGTTCTTCTAGGCTGCCCTGCATTACTACCGTGCGTCACATGAATACTGTGTGCGGATTCACTTCCATAACAATTTTGGAATTGGACTTTAGCTTAACCTTTCGTGCCTGGAGTCGTGGGTTTCATACTCGCTTTTCTTCTATTTCTTTTTGTATACCGAGGGGCTCTTAACTTGTTTCCAAACTAGGCTTCACTCCTTAGAAGCAGACCTGGCTTTCCGAGTGTGTACTGGAGGTTTTCACTCACTGTCCTGTAAATAAGTCAATATCCATCAAATAGAACATGTCCTAAAGCCACGCTTCCTAACCGTGCTACTCCCACAGTGCGTGTCATTCTACTCACATGATTTCCAGATGCCCCCAAACCTGTCATTCTTAAATATTTCCTTTCTGTTAATGTCCACATCTAATCAAGATCCAAATTCTATTGATTGGACCTCTGAGAAGCTTTTGATACCCACCACATTGTTCTCCAGGAGACCGGTGCAAGGCGCCATCTTTTGCCGGGTTACTGAAATGCTTTCCTGATGGCCTTGGTCTGTGCCTTTCTTATCCATCCCTCACGTGGGACCTTTCTGAAAGGTCCTGTTCTGTTCCTACCGACAGCCTTTCAGTTAATTAATGCCATCGGGATTCTTTTTAAAATTCATTCTTTGGAATAAACTCGGTTAATAGTGTGATTATGACTTAGTAAGATCTTTATGACATGGCCCCTGCTTATCTTTTCAATTTACACTCTCACTTTAAACTCTGCTTTAACCTGTAAAACTTTTCACTGCCTCGCACTGGGTGTGTTCCTTCCCGTTCTTCAGGTATTTGTCATCTGAAAGCTAACAGGCCCTGGGGAGGAAGCTGTTGAAGTGGGTGTACAGATAATAAAATTGTGCCTTTGCCATGTACAAGTTTGGAATAAGTGTAGATAGTTGTCCATTCTAGCTCTTCATGTGAGCTGAAAGCAGGAAGATGGGTTGATGATTACACTGCACTCTAATTCTGTGGATGGTCTCTGTCCTGACAGCCTGGGCTTCAACATCGTGCTCTACGGTTTGGGATCTAAGAGAGACTTACTAGAAAGGTTTCGGACCACCATGCTGCAAGATTCTGTTCATGTTGTCATCAATGGGTTTTTCCCTGGAATCAGTGTGAAATCAGTAAGTAATTCTAAATGGTAAAAAGTACATATCCCACTCCAGGTCTCTCCCACCCCGACCCCTGTCCCTCTCACACCCCCATTAATAAAGATGCAACTTTTCATTCTGGAGCATTCCATTGAAAAGACTTATGTTTTGTGTGTGTGTGTGTGTGTGTGTGTGTGTGTGTGTGTGTGTCTTTCTCCTTTTTTGAATTATTTATTGGGGTTGGGTGAAAGTATTCTGAGTAAATCTGCCCTCCATTCACCAATTGAATCACATTTTGTTTTGCGACATTGGTTGAAGTCCCTTCAGTGTAACAGCACCCCTCTTCCCCCTTCCTCCCCGAGTTCCTTGCCTTCTCTCTTCCCTGCTGTTATTCACTTCATAGACCTTCTGTTGCTTGGCAGAAAGTTAATCCCCAGCAGTGGGTTCAGTTCCAGATGTAAAAGGTTATCGGAGGCATGTTTTTAGCCTTCTTATTGGCAGCACTACATAGTACTTACCAGCTTGTGGCTAGAGAGTTCTAACTTAAGATCTCTATCAGCAGATTTCTTATTCTGTAACTGACACATGTTGCCCTTTAGCCTTGTTAACTATACCAGTTATCTCTGAAATATGGGATTATGGAAGGATTGCAGCTCTGTTAGACTTTTAGGTCATTTTGATCTTCTCAAAATGAAAGAAATTAAGTTTAGAGTCTTATAATGTTTTTATCATGGATTATTTTCTCCCCTAATGCTCCAATCCTTTTATCATGTAAAAATTACTTCTTTTGAATGCTAGATATTAAAGAATGTTGTATTCTTTTTTAAAAATGTTCTTAATGTTTTTGTGTTCCTGGTTTTGATTAATATATATTTTTCTAATGTTTCTCATGTTGTTGGGGCTTATTGTATGTGTTTTTTGCTGCCGCCTCATCTCTTTATATCTCTATATTTTTGCTATTCTTTCTTGTTTCTTTTTTTGCCATAATTTAGGGACTCCCCAAACTATTACCCTAAAATAATAATTAAATCTTAAACCCAAAATATTTCCTAAAGTCTTCTTAAAACTGTAAGAGAAGAGGAATCAAAAATAGGGATGGGGTAGGACAAGCTGTTGGGTGAGTTTGATAGTAGTTTAAATTGTTTGAGTACAAAATTGGTGATTATCTGAAGTGTAAAGTCCGCCTAATTCACAATTAAAAATGAAAAACAAAACAACAGTTCAGCTTAACAATAAAGAATGTCTGCCTTGAGCATCACGCCCATTTAAGCTGTCCATGGGATTGAATGTACGACACGTCTCCGAAGGCTAGACAGGAACCTCACGGAGCAGTATGTGCACATTAATCAGCAGGGAGAGAATCTTTGCTCAACTTGAGAAATGTAATTTATGTCACTGAAAAGTACATTTAGAAACATGAATCAGTGTATTATTGCTGTGTGTTGCCTCAACATCAGCAAAAAAAGAGAAAGATTATTAATAATATTAATTATTATTTAGGTCTACTTAAGTTCTGGCAAAAATTTTTTAGTAACAAAAGATTCGGGGTGGGGGGCGGGGGGCGAGAGTTCTGATTGACACCCTGCCTCTTGTTCTTTGTCATCCAGGTCCTGAATTCTATAACAGAAGATGTCCTTGACCATGTGGGAACTTTCCGAAGTGTACTAGATCAGCTAGACTGGACAGTTAACAGGTTTAAACAAGGTAACATGCATATATG